CTGAGTGGATGAAGTTTTCTTCCACTGCCATAGACTACATTTGTCAAGATACTAGATGACATCTGTTCAGTTTGACCAAATTAGATTTAACACCACACACACTGAAGAAAGAAAAGAGAATGCACATCAACTGCAAACAGAGTCAGAAAATTGTAAAGGTGCAAAAGAAAGCAATTTAAATGTTCAGGTTTCATATAATTCTTGTTTCAACCACCATTCTGTTCACTGATTCTATTCAAACAGACACAATTCTCTCCTTGTATTACTGGCAACACCTTTTCTTGGAGAAAAAGGTTCCAGTGCGGTGCAAGGTCTACCATGAAATTCTCTCTTCACCTTTAGGTCACTCAATACAATCTTCCGGTAAGAGAAACCAGTACTACTCTACTGCATTAACATATTACATGTCTACTGCATGTAACATGTCTCTTCTGCATGGCCCACATTAAGATTACAGATGTGAGCTCCAACAGTAAAGCAGTTTCATTTATGTCTTCATGGAGGTGCTAAAGATACTTCATCTAAATCGTCTCAGGTGCTTATCCTGTTCTTAGCATTTTGAATAGCTAGCTGTAGAATAAGGCTTCAATGTTTTCCAAAGTCTCTTATCTTTCTCATATTGAAAATATTATGTAGCACTCTTTCAAGTTCTGGCTCAACTTTTTAGCTTGGTCTCCAAAGCCAGAGAACTTACTATATGACTGGTAACTGGAGTGCTGCATTGGTAGTGAATTAGGGCTAGCTCCAAGAAAGAAGGCAAATGACTTACTAAACAGCTCTCTTCTAAAAGCAACTGCCTGTCCCTAACAAAGAATTCTTCCAGTATAAGGTACAGAACGTGCATTTCATCCACAGGAACCTACCAGGAGGTGCCAGTGCAAGCAAAGAAGGTGGACGTGATACTGGCAGCCAAAGACCAGCAGATTTTCCTCTTCAGAAAAGAAGTCAGTGACCGGCCAAAGGAAGGAAGAGACGTAATACCCAAAAGGTCCAGGAGTAACTTAAGAATTTCTAGCTGAATTCAGTTAGAAGAGAGAGACTCATCATTTGTTAAACTATACACCAAAGAATAAACCAGCTAAAACACACAGCCTCCCATATTCCCGTTTCATTGAGGGAGAGGGCATGTCGAAGCAAAGCAAGTCTGCTCTAGTGTATCAGTACACCAATCTAACTCAGATTGATCAATGCTGAACTCACATGACGGTTTTCAAAGAGGCAGCTCAAGTCATCATCTTTACCCCCAGTCTACAGACAAAGCTGTACAACCCCAAGAAACGTGACAGCCAGCTATGCAGGACAACCAACTGCTTGCTTCAACCAGGAATAATTTTTAGCTTTTCCAAGTAAAAGAAGTAAGCTGCCAAATATCAGGTTGTGATGGTTTGTATAAGGAGGTAAAACAGTGTCAACTGTGAATCTCTGACAGGAATCTTTGAAAAAGGAAGTGATTTTTACAGGATCAGCAACTGTCTGAAGAGCACTTGCAGAACTTCTAAGCTAGCTGTTGCTGTATCACTTAAATTACTTCAACAAAGAAGAGCTTAAAAAAATGAATTTCTTAGCCCCAACACTGAGACTATACCACAGTGAAATTAATGCTGAGGTAAAAGAAGGACATTTTATACTTTTATTCTATATCATCCCTTGGTAAGACTTCTTTCACTTCCTAACCACCAAGAAAAACAGTATGCAAGGTGATATGCAAAGATACACTATTACTGGTCTTTCTTTTACTTGTAACTTTTGCTCTTATCCATCTGGAAGCTGGACCTAGCTTCCCCTCTCCTTCCAGCTCAAAGCCTCTTGACTGAAATGAATAGGAGAAAGCTACTCCATTCATTCCCAAAATAGAAACAAGATTAAACTTAACTGCTGCTTTACTACACAAAAGGCTCTAAAATGCAGCAATATTACTATCATATTTCTTTTTTAAAAAACATCATTATTGTAATTTTCACCCTAGAGCTACATAGAGGGCAATAAGGCAACTGCAGCAATCTTTATCATATATCACACATAGAATATACGAGCAGATCAAGGTGGCTCATTTTCAGCAGACCGGTTTTTTGAACAGCTTAATTCTCATCTCCTTTCTTCATTCATCCACTGATCACAATGCCCTAAATCATCTTGAAGATTCTATTGAGGATAAAATTCTCTTCCACCACCCAGAGAAATTTCACCATGACAAGTTTTACATTTCTGTAGTACCGGAGAGTTTTCAAACATATTACAGTCATTTGCTCCTTTTTTTCCCCTATTCACTAGAAAACTCCGGGTGCATTATGAGTGTTTTAATTTGGACCCCAAGTGCACTTTTGAAGCAAGTCTCCCAATTAGTGCCACTTATTGCTTTTTGGTTCACATTGTTTAGCATCAGAGCTAAAGAGAGCCTCCCTTTTAGACCAGGCTGAATTAGAAGATGCACTTCAAGAGTATGCCTACTGCGCTCCCCTACTCCAACCACACATATGCATTCAGTCCACGGGACCTTATTAGAGGCAATCCAAAGTAAAATACCCCTGAAGTATGTATAGTGCGTGTCAGGTCCTCAGGGTCAACCATTCCACTCTACAGACACCCTTCCCGAGGTCCACACTACTTGCTAATGCATTCGTAGATTCAAGCTTAAAGCTGGTTTCATAAAACTGGGCAATTACATTCATATCAGCAATGAAAAGGAATCTTTAATGAGTCACATGTTGAGTATTAAATTTCAGCTGCAGTTTCACCCTATCATTCTAAAAGGGACACACGTAGTGGCAATCAGAAGACCACTGTTTGCCAGCTGATGACATGTCTCAGCAAAAATGCCTTTAGCCATAATATTAGCTAAACTTTGAAGTTCAAGTATTTGGCAATCCTGAGCTCTAGTGAAAAAGTACAGCTGTAGACTTCAAAAGTCATTCATTCGGTTAAGTTCCATTAAAACTGGCACAAGAAGTAAATCCCCCAATAACTCTGGAAATTGCAAACATATTTTTTCATTCTTGTCCTGATCACCCAATATCTCTGCATACAATTACACTGACTAAGGACTTTATATCATTCTTAAGTCTTCCTTCCTTTTTTCTCCTCCAAGTCTAATGCAACCTATACTAGAGAGGAAGACCCAATTTGTCCAGTTCTGAGTATTACAATTTTGTGTAAAATTACACAGTATGTCTATATGCATAAATGTATACACACACACAAATATATACTCAATTTTGGTCAAGAACAATGTCAAATAAAAACTAAATGAAGTGTATATAAAATCTTAAAAATTTAGGCCTGGATTTTACATATGTAGTGAAGTTCAGGCATCCATTGTCCCTCCTTTATCTTGCCACCAATTGCTGCTGCAGTGCTACCACGTGCTGTGGGCAGCAACATAGATTGAGAGGCCGACAGCGAATCATTGCTAACATTCCCCCCATCTACCAGGGTGGATCAGTTCTCCTGATCCTGTTCACCAAATGCCTGCATAAACCTCTGTGACGACAAAGGCCAGGAGCAGTAGAGTAGGCACAGAATACTCTTAGGGCATAGGCTGGATCGGAGAATTCCACTGCTGTCAAAGAAGTGTATTTTCCAAGTCTTTGTTAGAACAAAACAATAGTGTGTTGCTTTACAGAACTCAGGACAGTCAGTGGACTGTGTATTGGCTTTTAGTTTTGTCTGGATTAATTAATTCTAGACAAGAATTAAAAATTCCATTATGAGTCGCTGGAAGGTACTTTATATAGGATATTACAGCCCATAACAGAAAAATATTCCTGGAGCTTTTATTACCCCTTAGCATATGCTTATTCAAAATTAAATATTTTCTGTTCTTGTCTTGTTTTGTTTCATTCTGAAGTGTTTTACCAAGTTATTCACAATATATTTTATGACAACTTTGTATGTCCATATTCCAGCTAAAAAGAAGCAAAGAATTAAAGTTTATTATTTCAAAATGTATTGAAAGTAAAACATCCACATAATTACATTTGAAACAAGTTACAGCCCACATTTACATAAACTATTTTGAAAGCTTACATTAAATATAAATATTTCTCAAGTTTGAAAGAAAGTCAGGTAAGTGCTTTTGCAGAACTATCTGCCTAAATACCTGAAACAAGAGCTTACTGATTTGCTAAGCCAGTTTTTAATCTTAGTAATACTTCCTTCATTTTGATGTATTTAAAACTCTGTCCATTGTCTAACTACTTAAATTTTAGAAGCCAACTGGTAATCTAAAAGGAAGGAAAGCTATTTCTTTCCCTTATAAATTTAAATAACCAAAAAGAAGATTAAATTTTCTAAGTCTCAGTTTGGAAGGATATAGTAACCAGAACTATCCAATTAATTCACTAGCTACAGGGCAAAAAAAACCCTTCACTTTTGTTTAATGATTAGCTTTAAGTATAAAACATGTTTTGACCAGCTTTTACTTTAAGAAGCCTATATATTTTAACTGGATTCAAACTTCCATCCATATACAAAAATAAATAATTTCAAAATATGAGAAGTTGTTGGAATTAATACAATGTTGGGAAGACAGTGATTTAAGTTATTAAAAAGGACACACAAAGCTAAACTTTGTTATAGCTGAGCTGCAACACAACCATTTACAGATACTCATTGCACCAATTATTAGCTCAACAGAATGTAGCTCAGTGCACACTGCTCTGCATACCTCTCCAGCTTTCTACATACTGCAGCATGAAGGAACATACCAATGAGTCTAATTTAAAATCAGCTTAAAGTGCACAAGTCTAATTAGGGTCTTCACAAAATACATTAACAAAATGCATCTTGTTTTAATAAATCTGGTAATATATTATCATTATACACGATTTCATTAACTATTTTTCTATTTAAGATTAAATTATTCATGATGAGTTGTTCTGTCCTCCTGTATTCTGTGAAGTATTACAATAAACTAGGGATTTTTTCTGTTTTGTTCCTCAAAACGAAACGCATCCCTAAAAGGTGAAAAATTACTAACACAAAGTACCATATGGTCAACTTACCACTGCCACAGCATCACTAGAAAGAACGGCATCAACATCCAGCACTGTATAGTAAGCTATATTGGTCATAATATAGATCACAGTCACAATTGGCATAGACACTGCAATAGCCAGTGGCAAGTTCCTGTAAGACAAAAAAACCCCAAAACCCGTAACTCAGGAAAAAAAAAAAAATGTCATTAATAACAGAATAAACTTATTTATTTGCATTCTTTACCTTAGCGATAAAGGGTATGAAGACAGAATAAAAATTTCAAAATAGGTATCTCTGGAAGAGTTTGGTTTCTTTTAAAACTACAAATTCTAATATAGAATGGAAAAAATAGTATTTTTTGCAATAACTTAAAACCCAAATTATATGTAAAAAGGGATTCTATACAACCGTTCTTCTAGTACCCTAACTTCAGGGTTTCCAGATCAGTAACAACAGCCTTCAAATTTATATGCTTTAAATTATTTCCTACTGGTCATATTAATTACAACAACTAGAACCCAAAGGGGCAGAGCTCTGAGTCACTGGGGAATGGTGCTGTTCTTCTAGCATCTACTTCTGGAACTGATGTACTAATCCAAGCCAAACCCCTGATCTTCTCAACTGCACGCATCACTGCGGAGAACAAGCTAATTAGGCTGCGTAACTGCAGAAACTAGAGATGCAGAGGGCAGATCCAAAAATGCTACACAGCTGTGAATCTTTGGATGTGATCTATCTTACTAGCAAACACATGCCTAGAAAGTAGTACAAAAAAAGTCTAGAGTAACATGAAAACACTGCAAACCTCTAGATGTAAACAGATAAGACAATTTAAAGCCGAGATAAACTCACAGCCCTGAGTCTGCAGCTCCACAGGGAGAAACTCTGCAGAGCAGAAGAAAACTTTTAATTTTAGGCTCTGGCTTTTCTCAGCCTTTTTCTTTCCCCAAATCTTGCAGGGATATTCAAGTGTCTCAAAAAGGAAAGCAGAACTGACAGTGTTACTCTCGCATTTGCCCAGTTTGAAATCAAACATGACATGGTGACATGGATGAGTATTTGCCATGAACGTTATTATGTTTTATATGAATGTTATATATAGTTTTCCAATAACAACAACAAAGTCCAACAAAGCAGGAAAATTAAACCCACTTTGGAAGTTTCCTCAAAAATTTCCTGAAGCCCAGAACTCCAGCTGGGTCTGTCTGATGCTGTGGAAGCAGAAAAACAAACACACACCACACTGCCTCCATATAAATCAGTAAATTAGTAGCTGGGAGCTCTGACTCTGCTTCCAGGTTGCACTCACAGTAAAAGATGCGTGAACCTCAGTGCAGAGAAGAAAGAATTTGAAAACCATTTATAAATGAATTCATAAATGTTATGCAATATAACAAAAAGCTAAAATTACATTTTAAGGACTTTGCATCACCCAAGATTAAAGCCAAGGGATTTTTTCAAATTTAATTTGTGGACTGCAACTTTCTTTATCTTTCAGCTGTAGCAATCTGAGTTCTTGCTTATAATAGGAAGTAGAAATGATCAAATGGGATTCTACTTTTAACATAAAAGGTGTCTGCTTACAGACTACCGACTGAACAAGATTAGTCAGTCACACTTTCAGAGCATAAATGCATGGAAAAGATAACATTTTTAAATATGAAATCAGAATTATTGCACAGATGAACACAGCACAGACTACACTTATGTAACTATTTCATTGCAATATTGTAATTATTGTAATTAATAGTAGCAACATCTTGAACTGAAAGCTTATCTAGCACTGAATATAACATCCTGCTGTATGACTGGTTTTTTTCCTCCACTTTTAATGTAGTTTAAAATTAGTAAATCTTCGCTGGTGGTTGTTCACAGCCTTACCATTTAAGTATAGAGCAGTTCTACTCATTTCTGTACAGGCTCAGAAATCATTACAGACAGCCACAAAACAAGCATCTTGGTAACTATACAGGTTTAGAAAGTTCAAATCGTTTACCTTTCTGGGTTTTTGATCTCTTCCGTTACAAAATTGAGCGTATCCCAGCCAGAGTAAGAGAACAAGGCAGAATAGAGTGCAAGGGAAATATTTCCGATATCAAAAGAGGATCCCTCAAAAGAGTTCTCAAAGTGCGATGAATGTCCTGTGTGTGGAAGAGATGCAATGAAGTACAGGATAATAAAATCCAGCAAGTAATTTTTGTCAATTTGGCACACAAATACAAAAAACCCTCAGAAACCCTAATTCCTTCAAAGCTGCTTATTAAGCCCTTTTTCCAATTCTACTCTGTGCTTCCGCTATGACAATAAGCATGGCATTTAAACTACTAACAATTACACTCTGTGGATGATACTCTTGTACAATTAAACCCCTAGTTTGTCCACAATGGCACAAAAAGTTCAGTAACATTAAGTTCAGACTAAGCTACAAACACCTGGCAACAACAGTACGCAGGCTAAGGGTATTTTTTAATAACACATATAGTTATAAAATAATCCACTCTATCCTTCTATATCTTTTTAAATTTTCATTTAGTCTATGCAGAAAACAAAGACTACAGTTGATTTTAAATAACTGTGACAAAAAACCCAACCAAATGGATGTTTACGTTTAAGCTATTAAAAATAGAAAACTGAGAACAATTAACAGAACATAAAATACTATTGTTACTTGAGATAAAATTTTTCTAAGCTACGAGAAAAACTGTATGGTTTTTTGCTGCACCGTTTGGGAGAACTTATGATATCTTTTGACTTCAGGCAAGTCAATACAAGCTCATCAACGCCAGGTTATATATTCAGACTATTTTATATATACAGACACATACACAAAACCACCAAATACAGAAAGGTGAGTTACTATGTAACTCCAAAATATGCCCCCTGAAACACTGAGACTTCATCAAAACTGGCCAGGCAAACATTTGAGGCCTCTAAAATATCTTCACTTCTTTCAGTTTTTTTATCCTAATCAGTCATTGCTATTCCATTGGCACAGAGTGAGGCAGAGGAACTGCTGAGTTAGAGAAGGGAGATAATGTGGTGAACAAGCTCAGTGACTACAAAACAAGGGATGGGCAGATGTGCTAAGGATTAAACACTCCAGAATGGTGCTCACATACGCATATTCTTGTTCCCTTCACAATAATTGCCTTGCTTATGGACTTTCAACAATAACCAGTTAGAGCAAAGGACATAAATTGCCAGATTACCAGGGAAAGACCTTTATGACAGGTTTTGAAAGTAGGGTAATTTGTTTAAATTCTCCCCAAAGGAAGGGATAGGAACAAAACTTTCGGTTCAGAATTCCTCTAACTTGAAGGCACAATGTCCAAAATACACACAAATTTAAAACAACAAAAAAAATCCAAAACCCCAGCAACTTTCTAGTTCTCGACAGCTATAAAAGAACTCTGGACCTGAGCAAAAACAACAAGAGCTGCTGTTTCACAAATCTACTTGCATGTTCTTACAAATCTATTTTTACTTTAAGTTCAGTCACTTTCAGACTTGCACAAAATTCATTTTGAAAAAAAAAAAAAAGCACAAAAAAACCCCACAACAATTGATCTCACTGTAAAGTATGTTCCTTACAGAACTTTACAGCTTTCTCCACTCCCATTGTATTTTGCTAGCTCTGTATTTTGCTGTTTTCGTTTCCTTTATTATTCCATACTGCAGGCTGTAAATTGCACAACATTGCTGAGCCATCAGTTGCTTTCTTTTACCCAGTTCGAAGTCAACTGCGATAGGATAGCTTCTCATGATATAGTGTCATGATAATGCCCAACATTGGTATTATAGGTGTTTTCAAAGTGGCTAGGTTACGCTTGTACTACGGCATTTTATAACTCATACAGAGGTATTTTACAGTCTTTAGACCAATTACTGTTTAACTGATATATACAAACCTTTGCTTTCATTTGACAAGCTTACCCTGGCATATTTTAACAATTCCAGTTATGATGATGACAATAAGAGCAGTGACTTTAGCATAAGTAAACACATCCTGGACCCGTGTTCCCCATTTAACGTAGGCACAATTTATAAATGTTAGAAGACCTGTGGGAAGGAAGGGGAAGAAAAAAAGAAAAAAGAACAAAATGAAAATACTATTTAAACAATATTCAGTTTGATTCATTTTTCAAAGATTTTAAATTATAATCTAAATATGCATTTACCTGTTATACTAATACTTAGGTTAAATTAAGCAAAATTCACTGTTACTGAAAATGCACTGGTTTAAACAAAACAGTAGGAAACAGATGTTCTAAATACAATCTAAAAAACTTTCAAAAGATGGAAGGAAAGACCCACCCTGCTTACATGCCCTTTTTCCTAATATTACCCCTCATCAGCGGCACTCTGCAACTATACTGAAGCTAAAGAAACCATGACATGAAATAATTCATTTAAATGCATCAATATTGTCCTGATAAATGAAAGATTATTTAGAAATTCCTTTAGGCAAACATATCAAAACAGTGTTTGAAAAGTTTTTTTAATCCTTCCTTGCTAGGCTAAGGGCGACTTCAGCATCCATGGAGTATTTGCTATACTGAATAAGGTCACAGGACACTCAATACTCTTTTCCAGTTGTATTAAACTGTATTACTAAGTGAGGTTAAAATAGATCTGACCAAATAACATGCATCACAGCTAATGCAACATTAATCTGGATTTTTAAGAAATGGCAGTAAGCAATGAGTATTCTGAGTATATTTCTCCCTGTGCCCCAGAATAAATCAGTGTAAGACCTATTTCACAACATTTAACGGAACTTGAAATAAGACTTTCAGATTTCACAAATACTTTAGTAACAGTGGCTGACTAAACTTACTCACATGATCAACTTCCCCAACAAACACTCTTCAAGCTATTGTTGAAATAGACTGTTCTCACGGCTCTCAACATTTTGCTTTTGCATTTATTACTTTTTCCTCAAGTGGAGAGCCAGACAACCTCTGCCTGAACTCAAATGCTGAATATGTACAGGATTCAGTATTTTCAGTATTCTTTATTGAACAAAAACCACTAATTTTTCTTATCCGGATTGTCATTACATTATTGATTCCAACCCAGAAGTTTAAATATTTCCCCCAAATCTCATTTTCTTCTCTAGCTAGAAAAAAGCTGTTATATTCTACTGTACTTTTTATGTCCAAACAATTCCCTTGCACTATGTTTTTTAAATATGCACATAAAATAAAAGTTCAACTTGATTGTTTAGGGAGTAAGGTAGTAGAGCAAATCAAAATGAAATTTAAAAGTGTGATAAATTATTTCCTTTCCCATAATCCAAGAATAATTTATTAAGATAAAAATGCACTTAGCACAGTTACCAAACAAAAAAGTAATAATTTTTAAAAAGATAACAAAAGAAAGGTAATGATCTCAAAAGGATGGCACTAGTACACTAGACAGTCTGGCCAAGTGGAATAGCAGAACAAGGTTCCATTGAGCTTGCCAAGATGAGGGGGAAAAAAACCAGTTGGATCAAATTTCAAAAGTCAGGACTGCTGCAGCTCCCAAAGAGCCCTCAGAAAGAAAAAACAGCTCTGCTTGGTCTCTTATCTTCAGTATTAATCCATGGAGTATTTTCTTGCAGGGTTTGTCTTGGCCATTGATTTTTCTTTTTTAAAGCGACTTTCATTGGGAGCAATTATTATTAACTCCTTCTTTTAGTGAGTTAGGGCTTGGTCTCTACTTCAGGTGAAATGCTACTCTGTCTCTGCTATACTAAAAGATACAAAACCAGAGATAAAAAAGGAAAGATAATCAAGAATCTGAACAAGTCACATCCCCTCCCTCTTTCTTTTTTAGTAAAAATGTCATGTTTTCTTCAACTTAATTATCATTTAGCAACTTCAGTTCCTGCAAACTGTCAAGTTTAGTTCTGCAGCACCAGATCCCACCCCCATTTCCGAAATGAGTGGCAAAGTAATGCTGTAAAACACTAAGACGGCTCTTATGCTAGATCTAGTACTGTTATTACCACAGTTTAAAAAAAAGCCAACAAAAAGAAACCCACCCATTCTCACATACAGTCTATACCTAACCAATGTTTAGACTTCCATTCCCAGCAACTTCATTAGTAAAGCATTAATCATGTCCAGAGGCAGGGATTTGACACACAAGCTCAGCCCGGTCAGGCCAGGGAGAAGTGTAGACTTTAACAGCAACAGCTACATGAAGTTGTGAAAAAGGGGTGAGAGTCTCGGCACTGACGCCTACAACAGGGCAGAACAAGCGTTTAAACCATAAAATGTACAGTTCAAGTAAGTTGTTCATCTGTGTGACAGTGATCTTGCTGGCACATGTCTCCACTAAAGAAAAAGGTGCTAAAATCCCCTCTCTTAGCAGCAAGCGTAGAGGACATCATCTCTTTGTCTTTTTACATCTACTATATAATCATTTGAATTGAATTACTTTGCCTTAATTTCTTGCTTTTTGATAAACTGCTGTTTGTAAGGGTTAACTCCCCTCAGATGCGAGACATTTCAAATGGAAGAGCAGATTCCTCCCCCACTCCTGAATTTGTGCCAGGATACCTTGGGACACTACCTGTTTAAGGCATATGAACATGACATTACAGGTCCTCCATTTCTTCCCTGAAGTTGTTGCAACATGTGGCCACACATCTGGGAGGGAGCAGGGTGACAAGCGGAAGGGAACTGAGTAAGCTGACAGATTTTTTGGAAGAGGTTTGTGATTATTCGTTCCCCTACCTGGACCTGGACCAGCACACTGGCATTTTCCCAACAGTAACAAATCAACTTACAAAAGGGGAAGGGGAAGCTATAATGTTCACAACTAGTTACAGAGGCCAAACATTTGAAACACACACCACTGCTCTCTGTCCTTACCCTCTCCTAGTCTACACAGGCAACTGCAAAAAGGAACATTACAGCCATTTCAATACACTCCCTGTTGCCTCAAAAAGGAACCAGCTAGGAGCGCATCTCCTCCCTGCAGCATACTGTTGTCAGCAAAAAAGCCCAGGTTCTGTGTTAGCTTTGTCATAAGAGCATCAGGTCAATAGGGATGGCAGATTCCACAGCACATGGTGATGGTGATCAGCCATGACGAAGGACGGCCATACAGACTTTCTGAAATACATTTTTCACTGTTTACTGGAAATCTAAAATACGTAAATAAACACTTTTAACAGGAAATACCTAAAATTAAATCAGACACACAGAGTACAATCATACAGTTTCATTTTCTTGATACAGCAGAACAGTCCTGATTTGAAGCTTGTGGACAGTATTTCCTCTATATTGACTAACAGAGCTGGCTATCTGATTACAAACATTTCAGTGTTTTATGTGCACACAAAATTTCCACTTTTCAAAACAGCTTTACAACAGGTACTGTTGTACTGATATTACAGTTAATTACAAGCATAAAGAACAATCTTGAATGAACGATCTTTTGAAACCCTACCAGAGTAATTACTTAAGAATGGCTACATTAAGAAGCCATTGTAAATAAATTACAGCAGAATTTATAGCATAAGATCTATTCTGCAACAATTCTTAGACCACACCAAGCGTATCCTGAGGTTTGATTTAATGAACCTCTCTACAGGAAAACAAATGTTCCCCCCTCATTTTTCCCATGTCAGTAAACTTGGAAGAGTTAAATACCTTGTTCTGCTTCTGAATGAGAAAATGGTAATTCACTAAGCAAGTATCTGCAAGTTATTCATGTGATGGAAATTGTTCTTTTCCCCACTGTAACTCAAACTATTGCAGATTCAGTATGCAACAACTCTGAGACTTGGTAGGATTGGTTTTAATAAAGCTTAACCCTGGATAAAAAATTACCATAGTAAATTCCAAGAAATACTTACACTCACAAGCAGCTGCTATGAGACGGCAAGCCAAATATGGAGGATCACAAGAAGGGAAGAAAGGTTGAACTATGTAGTTAGCAAAGGTGATGGCAATAATCGCTTGACTAGTTGGCTCAACAATTAGGAGTGAGGTCCACAAACGAATAAAAGCAATGAAGCTCCCAAAAGACTCCAAGATATATGCGTAGCTGGCTCCTGACTTCTTAATAGTGGTTCCAAGTTCAGCATAGCAGAGGGCTCCAAAGACTGAAAAAATCCCTCCGATTGCCCAAATTATTAGAGACAATCCATAAGATTTGCTGTAGATGAGAACTCCTTTGGGAGAGACAAAGATACCTGAACCAATCATGTTGCCTACTATAAGGCTTATCCCATTTATCAAAGATATTTCTTTCTTCAGCTGCATTGTATTTTGGTTTCCATCCTGCATTTCACAGCTATCACTTGGGTCTGTCCTGTCTGATTTACTGACGGGGCTATATTCAGCCAGTGAACTATGCGACTTCGTACAATCAGTCCTTTCTCCCATTGTGGAAATGCCGTGAATTCTCCACGACTCCAAATCACAACCTAAAACAAAATATAGACAGCTGAAATAATTATAAAATCTTTATCCCAGGACTTTCTTGCCAAACCTTCTTTCCACCTTTTTACCCTATGATTTACAAACATAAACTGAGAAATTCCCTTCTGTTACTTCGTATGTTTTCTTAGACAAAGGTAAATACACATATAGTTAAAATAAACAAAAAAACTAGCACACAGAGAGCAAGAGACAAATTCCAAAATAACTTCAGCTGAGAAAGGAACTTCTACCTTTGGAACAAAAGAAAAAAAAAAAAAAGTCAAACATCAAAAAACCCCACCAAAACCGTAGGAAGGACAGAATTGAGGGATTCCAATGTTGAAAAGGAAGAAAGGATAGAAGCAAAGGGAGGTGATTTAGAAAAGCAAGCACTGTAAGACCAAGCTGGAAGTTCTCTAAGCATGAACACAGATGTACTGCAGTGCTAAAAAAAAAAAAAAAAAATCAAATTATTGTACTTGCACACGTAAGTTATGAGTGATCTGGTAAGAAGGCTGCACATTTTATTAACACAGTGAGGGCTCAGGCCAAGGGCAATACGAAGAGATACTTACTCCAGAATCCCCTTGATCCAGCTCTTGACTTTTAACTTGTACTACAGTTTGCTCTCTCCCCCCAGAATAAAACTGTTCCCAGTTCCCACTGCCTCATTTCTTGGAGTTATCTAAGTGTCGGCTGTACACGAAAAAAACCACATTTATTAGCAAAAGAATATACTGATAATTAGCAGTAATTCTGAATAAGACCCATTTTATAGAACTTCAAGTAAGAAATAATCTATTGAAGGAAGAGTCTTGTATGGAAACCAGCTTAAATTGCAAGTGTACTTTTGATTACTATGTTATCAGGTGCACAAAGAATAGGCCCTACATAATTACCAGAATGCACTGTCATTCATTTGCCCTGTCCCTCATTAAACCCTTAGTGTATATTTCAGCCATTTACTACAGAACAGAAAAATTAAAAAGTCTGGGTCAATCAGGATAAAGCAGCTGATCTAGCAAGGGGGCGAAAAAAAAGGTTTTGCAGTTTTTTGGGATAACACTAGTTTTACAAAAGGTTTTGTTATTCCAACAATAAACTCGTCAACTAAAAGAATAAAAACCCCGAGTATGACGATTTTGAAGGTCAGTTTGCAATCACTCAAACTGCCTATCACAGAAAGGCTTGGGTTGGAAGGGACCATACTGTGATACTGAACATGTCATTCCAGCCCCCCTACCATAGACAGGGACACCTTCCACCAGAGCAGGGTGCTCCCAGCCCCGTCCAACCCGGCCTTGAGCACTGCCAGGAAGGGGGCAGCCACAGCTTCTCTGGGCAGCCTGGGACAGGGCCTCCCCGCCATCACGGTAATTTCTTCCTTATATCTAATCTAAACCTATCCTCTTGCAGTTTAAAGCCATCACCCCTTGTCCTATCACTGCAGGCCCCTGCTAAAAAGCCTGTCCCCATCTTTCTTATAAGCCCCTTTTAAGTACTGAAAGGCCACAGTAAGGTCTCCCCGCAGCCTTCTCTTCCCCAGGCTGAGCAGCCCCAGCTCTCCCAGCCCTTCCTCCCAGCAGAGGGGTTCCAGCCCTTGGACCATTGCTGGGGCCTCCTCTGGTCCCGCTCCAACAGGTCCAGGTCTGTCCTGTGCTGAGGGCTCCAGAGCTGGACGCAGAACTGCAGGTGGTATCTATGCATCTAGCCACATATAAATATACAAGGTTTTGCTCATGCAGTTAGAGGCACACCTTTCTGGAGGGAAAACTTTAAAATCACACTCTTCCTTTACTGTAAAGCTACAGCACAGGAAATCTGACTTGACGTCCCTGAACTACAATAGTTTTAAAGATGTGGAAATTATAAAGATTATTTCAAATCAATAAAATGTAACTTCTGCTGCAATGGAGTATTTTTTTTTACTGAAACATTACATCATTCATCTCAAACTCATGAATGTCCTAGCTTTTTCCACATTAAAATAGAGACTGTGTTCTTTTAAATAATGCAAAAAAAAAATCCACAAAACTTCAAAGAAGTACTTTAAAGATGGTTAATTACTAAGTACATATTTTAGCATTTATACATGAGTGAAGATCTTATCTAGCATCACACATACATCACAAGCCATCAAGTTTCACACTTTTAATTAGACTATAAATTTTGAACCCTCCAGAAACTAATCTCTGCTGTTTCAGAACTTCAAAGCTTGAGTGTTATACGGAGGCACCGCCAACAAAATTAAATTAATTAGGAGGGAGGGATCCACATAGTTTCTGCAGATGAGTGTGCCCAAAACTGAAAAGGAAAATGCAAGCAAATTCAGCTCACCAATTGTTAATAGTTCTCCTTATTATTTACTCTTCCATCTCTCTCATGCCATATTCATTTGCAACCACATACTGGCTGATTTTCTGTTACTGGTATAGCAGAGCTAAGTCTTCAAAAAGATATGTGGCCTATAAGCTTGTAAGATTATTTGGTTTGATTTACAAGAGAAAGTTCAGTTATTACTGTGTAAATGTAATGCAAATTATCACAAAAACCAATTGCAAATATGAAGCAATTATCAGAAAGCACAAATTTGTAAAACAGCAGGACAAATAGTTAAAGCAGATGTCTTCATGACTGATTTGACTATAAGACGTGGATTTACAGAACACTTGCCACCTGTAAAAATAACATTCAACTCCAAGTCTCTTTCATTTCTGTTTTGACTCAGACAGGACACTAGTTGCAAATGTATTTCAGAAGGCAAATCACTCTGGAGAAATGTCAGTGGAAAATATAAGAATACTACAGCTATTATTATGACATCCAACTGCTAGTTTGAAAAAGTGCCATGTTCATTCTCAACCCTTCCAGCTAAAGGATAAAACCGAGTAATATATTAGGAATTGACTCAGCCATGGAAAACATTGTTTTGGTGATGACTAGACAGCTTTATGATTTCTTATGCCACATATCCTAATCCTCATTCCCATTTCTTCCTGAGCCTTCGTACCTTTCAAAGTACGACTTGTTCAGAAGCATACACATTACTTTGAATACTCCAGCATTCTGATGATTCGATTTGATTCAAATCAATTTAATCTTTCAAATCAAATCATATCTGATGTGTTCCCACACAGGCAGTTTTGCACTAAGAGTCACTGTGATTCACCTCATGGTCTGAAGTTCAGAGACACATTTAATTACCTGTAACTACAGGCCCTGTCACTGTTCAAATGCCTCCACCTCAATTAGCAGTACATGACTGCAGGTCTACACAATTTTGTTACCGATGACCTTGACTGTTTCTTGCCCTACTCTGCCCAGGAAAGAACACCCACAATTATCTCTCAACCTAGCTTATTTTGTCCCCCACTACTCTTTCTTCCTTCCGAGTCTCCTGCTTTTGTTATTCCCAACTTCAGGTATCTGCTGACAACTAGTATTCGCATGAAGCTGCGTGCAACAGCTCACTCCAGATCTGGCATTTAAGTCTCTTCTCTAACCTTGTTTTGTATCCTTAAAGGCTGCAGGACAGGAGTTGCTAATTTGCCCGAGTTACAGGTCTTATTAGACCACCTCTATGACAGAAGCAAAACTATTGGCAGGTTTTTTTCCTACAAGCACTTAACTTAATCGTAACTGGAACTAAACTCAGCAGCTTTGACCAACTGAAAAGACAAAAAAAGTACAAAGGAAGAGGGAGAGCAGGGACTAGAGAAAACTGAAGCTACGTCAAACTTCAGGATCAGCAATATAAAGAAAAAAACCCACATATATTAAAATCCACGATTCTCTCACAAGACCATTACTTTTGTGGAAACCGAAGGCAGGCTTGGAAGAGAAGAACCAGAGAGGAATAGTATGTTTTCTAACATACAACAATCCTGTAATACTGCAGCTAAAAACACCGTTGGAACAAACTCTAACGCTGCCAAAGCCTTGCCACAGGACTGCTACGGCTAATGCAGGCTTACGCTTTCACTCACGCGAACACGTGGATTTCCTCATCACTCACCCTTGTGCAATGCAAAGTCTTAAACTCTTGTTTTTGCTGATCGCTGCAGCTGTGAGGAATCTTTTTGCTGATATGCGTAAGATTTTCTACTGAAATGACACTGCCTTTGATACAGAAAGCTTCGATACGAAACCAGAACAGAGTGACCTGAAACTAGATCACTTTACCATCTCACCAGAAATATGTATTCTGATAAGGCCGTGTACCCAAGGAGCTAATGAAGGTTTAATGTGCAGTTAGCGAAGTACAAACACTGAGTTGACCCTCCTTTAAGAGGAGAGAAAGAGGAGCCATCTACCCAGATCCCCTCTCTCCCACTGAACAGGACAGCAGCTGACCTGCCATTTGTTCAACTTGGGGTGAACCTGTGAGCAGGTTAATGACTGATGTGAAATACCAAACTGCTAAAAGCTTACTATGTTTTGCTACAATACCCGCGCATTAGCAAAGATTTCTAGTGTTCTTGCCTTTGTCTTCCACAGCTGTCTTGATTGCACAAAACAGCTTGTTGTAACACAGCTTTACATACGTACTTTGACTATTCACATAGACCAGCTATAAAACTCTGAACACGACTGGCCCTTCGGGTAAGAGTCAAGATTGCCCTACACAGGCAAACAGCATGAAAGTCTTCAGGCAGTTAAGCACCAACAGAGCAAAGGTTGTAAGTCCCAGAAATGCCTATTCCTTGCAGTATATATATTTAGGCACCTCACAGTATGAACATTTAAGTGGGAAAGGCTTAGAGTTGTCTAGTATTTGTTTTTCTTGTTTCTGGTGAGAGAAGAATCTTTTCCCTGACATACATACAGTTAGCAGACAGGAAGCCCTTGCAACAAAAGCAGTTCCCAATGTAAAGATCTAATCTGTTCAGCCAAGTTTTTAGTGCTTACATACATAAACACACCATCTTTGGAGCTATAAAAAACAACATAAACCTTTGATCAAATAGAATTGGTTGTAATATCCGTTTTTTAAAAGAG